TGGGGGTACACTGGAGTATTTACAAAGATTCTTACAATGTATCAAATATATCAGACTTGAATTCACCCCCTTCGCTGCTATCTTTCATCCACCCCCCCCCAATTCCTGGAACAGTTATAATGGGTATCATTTTTGCATTTACATACATGTGTATGCATTATTTGCACCATATTCATCATTCTAGCCTTTTCCCTTTCCCCTTTCCCTCCCCCCAAACCACCCTCCCAACTCCATCTGGTTTGTTTTAGTGTTGTTGCTGTTACAGTGGTTTGTTTTCTCTTCTCTGAGTAGTACTAGAGATTCAGCTCCCCAGAGATGGCTGCTCAGTAAGAGCATAAACCTCCATATAAATAGTGCACAAATCACAACATAGAACACAAGAAATATGAAAAAGCAAGGCAATGTGACTCTTCCAATAGTTCATAACTTTTAGTAGCTGAATCCAAAGTTACTGAAATGTTTGAAATGCCAGACAGAATTCAAAAGTCTGGTTTTAAAAATTATCAGCGATCTCAAGAGGATTCAAATAAGCATATGAATGAGGTACAGAAATCAATTTAAAACCTTGGATGAGAAATTCAACAAATAAGATTAGAAATTCAACAACTTGGATGAGAAATTCAGTAAAGAGATACAGATTTGTATTAAAAAACTCTAGAAATCTTGGAAATGAAAATTTAGTAAGTCTAATAAAAAACTGAATGGAAAGCATCACCAGTAGACTAATCCAGGAAGAAGAAAGAATATCAGGAATTGAAGACAAGGTTGATAAAGTATTACATTCACATAGCAAAAAAAAAAAAATGCAATCATAACCAGAACATTCCAGACCTTTCAGACACGATTAACAGACAAAACCTACAAATTGTGGTATGGAAAAGAGAACCAGCATACAGACTAAAGGCATAAAAAACTTATTCAATGAAATTACAGCAGAGAATGTTACAAATCAAGAGAAAGAATATGGGAGGCATTTAGAATCCTAAATAGACATGACCAGAAAAGAACCTTTCCCCATCATATTATAGTTAGAATACCAAGAATACAGAACAAAGAATGCTGAAAATCAAAAGAGAGAAGTGCTAACTCGCAAAGGCCAACCTAACAGAATAAGAGCAGACCTCTGAGCAGAAACCCTAAGTGCAAGGAGAGCATGGACTAATGTGGTTCATGCCCTTAAGCAACATAACTGTCAGCCAAGATTACATAGTCTGCAACACTGTCTTTTAAAATAGAAGCAGAAATAAAGAACCTCCATGAAAAGTATAAACTAAAGCAATTCATGACCACTGAACCAGCAGTGCAAAAGGTACTTAAAGGAATGCTATGTAGAGAAGAGAAAGAAAACTACACAAACTTGTGAGGGCTTGGGAAGGAATAAATATCACCAGAAGAGCAAGTAAAGAAATGATAATTAGGAAAGAATCAAACATAATTAACTCAGCAAAGCAATAAACCTTTAAGACAAAGAAGGGAGATATTAGTACAAACCTTTTAATAATAACACTAAATGTTAACATTCTTAACCTTTCAATTAAAAGTTTTAGACTGACTGAATGGATTAAAAAATAAGATCAAACTATTCACTGTCTACAAAAACACACTTCACTAGCAAAGATACACACAGACTGACAGCGAGGGGATGGAAAATGATATTCCAAGTAAATGGAATTCAAAAGCAATAGCTACACTCATACCTGACAAAACAGACCTCAAAATCCAAAATTAGAAGAGATAAAATGGTCACTATATATTAATAAAGGCAACGTTTCATCAAGAAGATAATTGTAAATATATGTGAACCAAAACTGGTGCACCCAGTTTCATAAAACAAACACTACTGGACATCAAGGGACAGATAAATCCAGGCACAAAAATAGTGGGTGACTTCAACGACCTATTCTCACTGATAGAGAGATCACCCAGACCAAAAAACCAACAAAGAAACTTCAGAGTTAAGTTGCATCATAGATCACATGGACTTAACAGAAACTTACAGAAGATTCCATCCAACAACTGCAAAATGCACATTCTTCTTAGCAGCCCATGGAACTTTTCCCCAATAGATCACATTTTAGGTTATAAAGCAAGTCTTAACAAATACAAAAATTAAAATAATTTCTTGTATCTTATCAGATCATAATGAAATAAAACTAGAAGTCAACAGCAAGAAAAGCTATGTGAAGGATACACACACTTGGAGATTAAACAATACGCTTTTGAATGATCAGTGGGTCATTGAACAAATCGGGAGAATTTAAAAATTTCTAAAATCAAATGAAAATGGAAACACAACTCACTAGAACATTTGTGATACAGTTAAGGCAGTTTTAAAAGGTATTTTATAAGTACATTAAAAATGAGAGAGATCTCAAATAAATAGCCTAATGATATACCTTAAGGTCTTAGAAAACAAGCCAGGTATGGTGGGACATGCCTGTAGTTCCAGCAGTCAGGAAGCTGAGGTAGGAGGATCCTAAATTTGAGGTCAGCCTGGGCTACACAGAAAGACACTGTCTCAAAAACAACAACAACAACAAATCATAATAAGAACAAGTTAAGTCCCAAATTAATAGATGGAAATAAATAATAAAGATCTGGGTAGAAATTAATAAAATGAGACTAAAGAACAATATAAATAATCAATGAAGCAATAAGTTGGTCTTTTAAAAGATAAGTCAGATTGACAAAGCTTTAGCCAAACTACCCAAAAGAAAGAAAGAGAAGACTCAAACTAATAAAACTACAAATGAGAAGGGTGATATGCCACAGATGCCACTGAAATCCAGGGGATCATTAGAGGATATTTTAGAAACTTATATTCCAGTAACTTAGTAAATATAGAAGAAATGGATAAATTCCTAGACATATGTAACCTAATGAAATTGTAGCAAGAGGATGTAAGCACTCTAAACAGATCTATATTCATTGAGCATGAGATTGAACTAGAAATAAGGTCTTCCAACAAAGAAAAGCCCAGGACTGGATGCAGTCAAGACTCAGGTTGGAGGGGATAATGGGGGAGGGTAAGAGGATCAAATTGCATTGTAAGCATGTATGAAAATGTTACAATATATGCTAATGAAAATTTGAAATAGTGTCATACCCAGTGCTTCAGGATGTGAGAAATTAGATCATTTGTATACACATTACTGATGGGAATTAAAAAATGCAGTCACTCTGGGAAATAAGCATTTTCTCAAAAATTAAATATCCAACTACAATATGACTCAGAAATTGTACTCTTGGGCATTCGTCTTAAAGAAAGTAAAACTTACAAACACCCAAAATCTTGCACATAAATGTTTATAGCAGCTTTATTCATAATACAGCCCCAAACTAGAAACAACCTACATGGCCTTCAGAGGGTGAATGATAAAAAAAACCACTTTACATCCCTACCATGGGATATTACTGAGCAATGAAAAGGAATAAAATCTTGATACACACACTGTCTCCGTTACTTTTCCATCTCTGTGACACAATATCTGAGTAAAACAAAGGAGGGAAGATTTATTTTGGCTTACAGTTTCAGAGGTATCAGTCCATGGTCATCTGGTTCCATTGCTTTTAGGCCATTGCAAAGCAGAAATATGGAGGGAGGGAGGACATAGTGGAGGAAAGTTGCTCACTTCATGGCAGCCAGGAAGCAGAGAGAGGGAGAGAATCAAAGAGGAAGGGTCTGGAGATGAGATATACCCTTCAAGGGCACACCATCAATGACCTACTTCCTCCAATTAAATCCCTAGTTTTTCTACCACTTTCCAATAACACCATCAAATAAGGAATCTATTAATGGATTAGTCCATTGACTAAGTGAGCGTTCTCATGATCCAGTTTCAAAATGCTCCTCCTCTGAATATTACATTGGGACCAAACTATCAACACATGAGCTTTTGTGGGACATTTCATGTACAAACCACATACACACCAGGTCTCTTAAGTCTCCAGGGAATTATGTTGAGTGAAAAAGACCAACCCAAGATGTTGCATTCTGTACAATTCCATTTATATAGCATTCTTCTTCTTCTTTTTAAAAAAAATGATACTGGAATTGAACTCAGGGCCTCAGGTATGTTAGGCAAGCACTCTACGACTTCAGCCGTGCCCCCAGCTCCTTTGCTTTAGTTGATTTTTGGGCAGGGTTTTGTATCTTTGACTGGGGCTGTCCATCAACTGTGATCCTCCTCCTTACACCTCCCAGCAGCTGAGATTATAGGTGTGCACCACCACATCTGGTCCCCATTCAACATTCTTGAAGCAGCAAGATCATAAGAACGGAGGACAGATTGCCAGTTACTGGTGTTCAGGAGGGGTGGTGGCTTGACGGAGGGAAGCATAAGTATTAAAGAGACACATAAGAAATCTTTGTGCTGCTGGAACAGTTTTGTGTTTTGAATATATGAATACCAGTGTCTTGGTTGTGATGTATGTAGGATGGGAAGGCTTTACCATTGGGGAAGTTGAATAAAAGGCATACAGCATATCTCATTATTTCTTACAACTGCATGTGTGTGGCAATGATCTCAAATGAAAAGTATAATTAAAAAATAAAAAATTCTAATGGGATACACCAAAGAAGAAAAATATTTATAACTGAACAGTAATAAAAATGCTGCATATCAAAACTTGTAAGAAAGTGTCAACAATATCTGTAGAAATATTTATAGCCTTAAATGCTTTTAAAATAGAATGCTTCTATAAAATAGAAGTATGACTGAAATTTTAAGCTAAATACCAACTTTAAAGTTGAAAGAACAGAACAAATATGAAGAAGGAAGGAGGAGGGAGAAAGTTCAGAAGTGGTTCTGAATAAAAAGCGATAAAATTGACTCACCTGTGGAAAGATTAGTAGGATAATAAAAGAGAGAGAGAGCATAAATACACATTCTCAGATGCTATAAAAACTAAAGGGATTAGAGGCTATTGCAACCAACTTTACATGAGTAAATTTGAAGACTGAGATTAAATGGACAAATTTGTGAAAAAATATAATTTACCCAAACTGACTGAAGAAGAAATGGAAGGAGTCCCACTTCCCAGTGTGAGGCAGTAGATCACAGAGGCCACTGACATTTGCACTACAAAAACCAGAAAGATTAGTATCTTATCACCAAGCTGATGATAGACTTGATGGCACAGATTGGATGAGCTAACATTCCAGAAAGGGAAGATCCTGGCTTTTGGTCATTTGCTAATTCTGCACTTGGGTTGCGAAAAGATTGGCTTACTGGGAAGATGAGAAACCTAAGGGGCTTTTGACAGTTACAGGGACTGATGTGGTGGTTTGGAATCTAGAAGTGCCCTGGAGTCTTCAGCCATCACAGACATGCAAAGTGAAACTGCACTGAGATGATACTACATACCCATCAAAAGAGCTAGAATTAAATTCTGATGACACCAAATACCAGTGAAGATGTGTAGTCAGTGGAGCTCTCAGACATTGATGGTGGGAATAAAAATTGCTTTAGCTACTTTGAGAAACAATTTGACAGGTTACACCAAATATAAAGTTACACCATCATATTTGGCAGTACTGGGGTTGAACTCAGGGCCTCACAATTGCTAGGCAGTCACTCTACCATGTTAGCCACTCTACTGGATCTTTTTGTGTTGGTTACTTTGGGGATAGGGTCTTGTTTTATGCCTGGGTTGGCCTGGACCGCAATCCTACTATCTGTGCTTCCCTACATAACTGAGGTGACAGATGTGGGTACTGTGTCCTTGGTATTAGTTGAGGTGGGATCTTGGGAAATTTTGCTTGGGCTGGCCTCAAGACTCCATCCTCACAATCGCAGACTCCCAAGTAGCTAGAATTATAGGCTTGAGCCACTGCACCCAGCCATCATCATATTTTTTTCAACTCAGCTTGATCAACATATTGGGTAGGAAAATAGAGCTCAAGAGCAGCGATTCCCACGTCCTTTGGCCAACAAGCTTCTGCATTCAAAGGAAGTGATGCAGGCCTAGTGAAAGAGCTGTGCAAAGGACAGACAACTGTGCTCTCCGGGTCTGTCTTGCTGTTGCTTCCTTTGGGCATCAAAAGTGATCAGGCAGTGATGGAGGAAAGGGACTGAGGTGTGACAGGACAGTACCCACACTGGCTTCATAGTTGTCTAATGTCTCAGTCTACCCTCCTGTAGTTACTCTGATATCTAAGTAAAACCATATGTGCACATGTGTATTCATCTGCTGAGTCACAACTGCTCCACCCATAAATGGTAACAGCTCACTTTTATTGCCACCCTCACTTCTGTGACACCAAGCAGGTGCATTCTGATCACTGTGCTGCTGGATGTTCTCAGGTTCCTGAGCATCATGTACAGGGTTTTCATGTCCTGTTTCTTGTTCTATCCTATCGGGACACTTTTCCTGGTATCTCTCTGACTTTCTCCATCAGTTCCTCTTACAGTTGAACACACTCTGGTCTTAGCCCTTTGGTGATATCCATAAAACAGATTACGGACTGAGTGGTGAGTGAAATGGATTGTTTTATGTGCATGAGCTGCATATCCATGTCAGAACATAAACTTATGTTCTCACCTAGGGTTGGGGGGTAGAGAACTGTGCTTGACCATGTGTTTGAGAAAGTAAGCAAATTGAAAAAGGAGTGAGTTTCCACTATTTTCTCTCTCAGATTATGTGATTAAACAAGCTTCCTTTTTCACATGTGATTCTTCCAAAGCCATTGCTGGAGTTTTGAAAGCGGTGCCCTTCAATAAATTATTAAAAAATTGTTGAAGTGCCATTCAGGGGTAATACACACTACAGAAATGAATTTTCCTCATATACATCACTATTCATAGGTGTTTCACTCATCAATGATTTATTTATACCTTCTCATTTCAAAAAGGTTTATAGCTAATTTAGAAAGTGATACAGGATGGTACATATATCAAAACTCTCAGGTAAAGAAAGTAGGGGAAAGGCTAACTAGGAGTAGAAGGGAAAAAAAAAGTGTGTGTGTGGTGTACTGATGCTCCAGAGTAAAGTTAGTGCATAAAACAGCTGTTTTTGATTTTATATACTTTTAAAAGTGGCCTGAAAAGTTTCTCCTAACAACCAGTATAAAAAAAAGGAACAGCAGAATTTGTTACATGATTGAATCCACATACATTTTTTCTTTTTAAAATTATATTATTGTTGTACTGGGGCGGGAAGGTACAAGTTCTTATAATATATCATAGTTGAGTTTACCCCCTCCATCATTCTCCTTTATTCTCTTCTCATCCCTAGAATAGTTTCAGCAGGTCTCATTGTTCCATTTTCATACACGAGTACATAAATAGTTCCACCATGTTCACCCGCCTACACCCTTTCCTTGTATCCTCCTCCCAACTGGTATCAACCTCCCAGACAGGACCTGTTCTACCTTACTGTTCTCTGTTTTTGATAAAAGGTATTTTTATTTGTTTAAGATAACTCTACAGAGAGTTTCCTTGTGACATTTCCATGTGTATATGTATTATAACTTGAATTGATTCATGCCCTCTATTTTTCTCCTTTCTACCTTAGTCTTCTTCTTATGGTGATTTCAATAGGTTTACAAATTCTATATTCATACTTGTGTAAAAAGTACATCACACATATTCATGTTCTTAAGTTTCTTCTTTTGTCCTTTCTCTCCTGTTTGTGACCTCCCCTTAGTGTGACCTGTTTTTCATAATATTGCTTATATTTGTACTGTGTCTATCTCCCACATTTGAGAGAAAACTGTGGCCTTTGTTTTTCTAAGCCTGGCTTACTTCACTTAACATGATGTCTTCCAGTTGCGTCTATTTACCTTCAAACCACATGGTTTTATTCTTCCTTATGGCTGAATAAAACTCCATTTTATATATATATCACCTTTTCTTAATCCATTCATCATTTGTAAGGCATCTGGGTTGTTTCCATAGCTTGACTATTGTAAACAATGTTACAATAAATATTGGTGTGCAACTTGCTTTATTGTATATATTTTTAGTATTTTTTAGGAGCCTCCATTTGAGCTTTTAGGGCAACTGTGGGGTTTGCTGGCTTTTCTAAAAGGGGGCCTTTATTCAGAAATGCAATCCCTTATACTCTTGCATTATTTTATTGGTTGCTTTTGGGAGAAAATCAGACATAAACCTATGACTCCTATCCAGAACATAAAACTGCCATTATTCTCAGGACTCCCTGTAGAGGTCTATCTGACTGTCTCTCACAGAAACTTCCCATTTAATATTAATATCTGAGAAGCTATCAGGGAGTTCTATTTCCTAAGCTGCCTATTTCTTAGAATAGATGGTGGAAGGAAACTTTGATTAGTGTAAACTTTAAAATTTCCATTTTATGTTCTTTCTGGAAGATGCTTTTATACCTTGGAAGATTTCATTAATAAAAGTTCCTCTAGTTTTCAATTGCACTTTAATGGAATATTATGACCCATTTTTTAACCAATAAAAAGCAGACTCATGTCACCGAACAAAAGAGTCTAGAAATTCTAGGCTTAGAATATTATTAATTTTGTTTTAGAGTATTTTTCAACTTTCAAATTGCAATAAATTGCTAGTATAAGTAACAACAATATTAATAAGAGCTATTGTACTTACCCAGATTGTCTTTCAAATGTCTTCTACACAAAAGAGGGGGAAACGATCCATTTTGGTGCAGAAAACATCTGATGTCTGTGTTTTCTTCTTCCTAGAACGTTAGAGAAAAATATTTTCTGCATTCTGGGTTTTTTGGCGAACGTTTCTGTGTCCTTTTCTATATCAGTGCCAGCTCAAGCTGACTGAGAAACAACCGGGTGTGCCTGATACTGAGGGTGGAGGAAGGAAGAAAGCAGATGTAGTTTTAGTTTCGTTTCCTGGATCTGAGAAGAGCCTTTTCTCTCTGAAATGCTGTTTTTCCTTAGACACGACTATGCCACCTTCTGGTATGTTTGTTTAAAACCCAAAGGTTTTCCATCTTTGCTTAAGAGTTTTGAGGGTTGCAGAGAGCCCTGTTGTCTTGGCTACAGACAAACCATGGGATAGTCTGCCTTCATAGGTCCCTTGGGAATACCGGTTTTCTTTCTTTTATTATATTTAAATATAGTTTTAGACTGCTTTCTGTTGCTATAACTGAAGACTACAGACTGGGTGATTTATAAAGTACATAAATTTATTTCATACAGGTTTGGAGGTGAAGATGTTTAAGGTCCAGGTCTGTGTCTGGTGAGAGAGAGCCTTCTTGCTGTTGGGGACTCTGCAGAGTACCACAGTGGCTCAGAGCATCACAGGGTGAGATACAGCTAGCTTACCTACTTGGGTCTCTCTTCCTCTTCTCATAAAACCAGAAAGGAAGACATGAGGCCTGCTCCCTCCTCACCTCATCTAATCCTAGTTATCTCTGAAGGCTCCGCCTCCAAACTGGAACAACATAAAATTTTGGGGATTAAATTTCACCATTAGTTTTAGAGGGCTCAAATGCCCAGATCATAGCACTTGCTGTATGTCAATTATGTTTCAATAGCGCTCATATTTTTATAGCAGGAAAACGCTTTTCTATTAGTAAATTAATAATGTTTGTAAATCTTTACACTATACTAATATGTCATCCAACAATTACAAAAGGATTTATAAATCATATATAATTGAAAGATGCTAAATGATAATTTCGCATCTTTAATTGCATTAGAAGTGTCACTTAAAGAATTCTACAGCCTTCTCAATGAAAAAATTTTTTTTCTCAGAAAGGAAAAAGACCCTGTTTGTTGGGAACTAGGCATGAACCCTGGATTGGGAAATAATGGCACTTGCACAGCCTCTCCATAGTAGGAGCTTGCAGAGCCTCTTCTACTCTCATTCTTCCCAGCACCTAGTGCCTTGACCTTTGTTTCCACATCTCCTTGAAGAATACAACCTGCTGTGTCTGCATACCAGTCGCTTGATGCAAAACTGGATGAAGTACCAGAACTGTTAGGAAACTCCCTGATGCCAGATTCATCAATACCTTAGATAAGGTGTCCTGCGTGCCTTGATGGTTCCAGAACTGATGTGCTGTAATTAAGCTTCTGTAGCCTTAGGAAAATTAGTCAGCCAAACGTCATACCTTTTACCTTAGATCTAAGACTTGTTGAAGCTTGATTTTTACCTGAGTCTTTTCCTTGTTGTGACCTAATAACATAAACACTCTGGTTCAGGTAGGTGCTCATGTTTCCCACCAGTTACATGTAACCCTCCCAATCCCACTTTTTTGTTTTATGTCTGTATGTCTGCGTGTTTTCTTTATTTCTCATTCCCTGCTGCTCTTAGTCAGGTTCATGCAGCATACCCATGCAGGTCACGGGCACCTGTCTGTATGACCTGGCCTGGCATTCAGCTAGGCTGTGATGTTTGATATTCACTTGTTTAACATCAACAGTTTCACAGAGAAGGCCACCATGTTATCATAATGATTAAGACAGCTATGTGATCAATCTGTAATTATGAATGAACATTGCAAAGCCATAAGTATGACCAAAAATCTCCCTGTCCTGGCTAATAGGAGTAACTTTTGTTTCTTTACGAATCATAGCTTAAGTCGCACTCCTTCTCAACTTTGAGAAAAGAGTTATTGCTTCTGTTTTCTTATAGCGTCCATTCCAGAATAAAGCCTCATTTCCTGAACTCCTTTCCCAAATCATGTAACACAAGCATGGAGCTAGTAACCCTACAACAAATCCTTCCTGATGCGTCTTACTGAGACAGCCCTCCTCCCCAGCTCCTATGGTATACCTTCTGATTCTCTATAATGAGTCGATAAATACAAATTTGTTCAATTACAAATATGCTCCTGATGGTCTCTGGGTAAAGGGCATTGACATTTCAGATGTAAATTTTGCTTAGTTATTTCAGAATTACAAACTGACAATTTATAATTATATGAATTTATGAGGTACAAAGTGAAGTTAAGATTTGTGAGTGCAATGTGGAAGAATTCAGTTATGCTAAGTTGAATAAGCCACATACAGAAAGAAAAATACTGCAAGTTCTCACTTATATATGGAACCTGAAACATTTGGGTTCACAGAAGCAGTGAGTAGATGGAGTAGATAGGGAAGGAGAGAGGAATAGAAAGATGATGGTCAAAATGTACAAAATCTCAGAGACAGGGGGAATATGTATTTTTACAGATCTTTTGCACAACACGGCGAATGTAGTTATCAGTAGAGTACTGTATATTTGAAAAATACTGTAGGCAGATTTAAATATTCTTTCCACAAAAATGGTAAATCTTTGAGGTGATGGATATGTTAACTAGCTTGGTTTAATTACTCTACATTGTATTTGTAAATTTCAACACTTGGAACAGGATTTTCATTGTAGTCCCCAGCCTTGTAGAGATTGGTCTGTGTGGGGATTTCATGGGCCTTTCAAGGTGGACTAATTGTTCACTTCTGTTTTCCTGAAGGTACAGGAATGTGTTTTGGGGGACATCTTTGAGCTCCCCCATAAATGCTACGGGCCTCTGGATTGCGGCAAACCAGGGCTGCAGACCTATGTTCACATTGTAGGAACTGATTTTTTTCTAAGTGTCAAGTCCAGGCAGAATGGTAAATGAGGACGACGAAAATAGCAGATATTTAAAAAATTAACAGCAAGTGCCAACATGTATTGTGTATATTTAATTAACTTAAGGTTTCCACAATTGATTTACAACTGACTTAGATTATTTTAAAGCAATGACTTAGCACTTACCACGTACCAGGCATTACCCTAAGTGATTTATATTATTTATTCTTTCAACAATCTCCTGAGGTACATATTATTATTATTTCGGTTTTACAGGCAAAGAAACAGGCACAGAGAGGCTAAGTAATGTGATTGGAGTTCTTACAGTTGGCATATGGTAGAGATTTGAACTCAGTGCTCTTAAATCCTGAGTTTTAGGAAGAAAGAAGGTGACTGCAATAGACAGCTTAGATATGACTTAGGTATGGCTTTTAGACTCATCACCGCCCCCTCAACCCCCCAGGATTCATCCTGAGCGCTGCAGCCTGGGTACCACTGCCCATGTGGATCAGAGTAATGGTAAATTTTGTGGCTCAACCTGATTGGGCCACAGGGTGCTAAGATATTTGGTCAAACATTATTCTGAGTGTTTTGGTGAGGGTATTTTGGGGTGAGTTTAACATTTAGATTGGTAGACTGAGTAAAGCAGATTGCCTGCCATCTTGTGAGTGGGCACCATCCAATCAGTTAATTCTTGAATAAAACAAAAAGATTGAGCAAGAGGGAGATCCTCTTGCCTGACTACCTTTGAGCCAGGTTATGGTTTTCTTTATTGCCTTCCAATTCAAAGTGCAACATCAGCCCTTCTTGGGTCTTGAGTCAGTTGGCCTTTAGACTGTAACTACACCAACTCTACCAGTTCTCAGGCCTTCGGTCTCAGACTGGAACTTGTGATATAGGCTTTCTTTAGTCTCTAGATTGTCAGCTACAGGTCCAAGACCTGTCAGTATACATAAATGTGTGAGGCAATATTTTATGATAAATATTTGCACATATAAATTTATTTAAAAGTTTTGTATGTATGCATACACACATAGCCTATTTGTTCTGTTTCTCTGGAAATCTGTGACTAATGCAACCAGGTTATAAAAATTAACTTTAATTATAGAGTTTTTATTCTACTGGCTAAACTAGTTGTTCAGAGTCCCTGTGAAGCCAAGTCCCAGACCTTGGGCATGGACCATTCTTCTTTTCTCTCCTGTGACTCTCCTTATGCTACCTCTCTAACCACATAGTCAATATTTCTCATTTAAAAAAATTTTTATTTTATTCATATGTGCATACAATGTTTAGGTCATTTCTTCCCCCTTCCCCCTTCTCCTCCCTACCCCCCCCACCGCTCCCTCCCCTACCCCCCCTTACCCCTCACTACCTGGCAAAAACTATTTTGCCCTTATCTCTAATTTTGTTGAAGAGAGAGTATAAGCAAAAATAGGAAGGACCAAGGGTTTTTACTAGTTGAGATAAGGATAGGGAGTTGACTCACATTGATTTCCTATGTATGTGTGTTATCTTCTAAGTTAATTCTTCTTAAACTAACATTTTCTCTAGTTCATGGTCCCCTTCTTCTATTGGCCTCAGTTGCTTTAAAGTATCTGCTTTAGTTTCTCTGTGTTGAGGGCAACAAATGCTAGCTAATTTTTTAGGTGTCTTACCGATCCTCATACCTCTCTTGTGTGCTCTCACTTTATCATGTGCTCAAAGTCCAATCCCCTTGTTGTGTTTGCCCTTGAGCTAATGTCCGTATATAAGGGAGAACATACTCAGAATGATGTTTTCCAATTCCATCCATTTACCAGCGAATGATAACATTTTGTTCTTCTTCATTATATTTTTCATTTTTATTCAGTTATTGCCTCCTGGGGATGCTTATCTAGTTGTCCTCTTCCATGAAATTTTAATACTACAGGTATACTATGTATCTGTTTATGCATAATATGTGCTTTCTACATATAAAGGACATTAGATATTATTAGGTAATTGCAATTTAAGACAGTGGGTACAACTACATACCTGATCAGAATGGCCAAAATCCAATACACTGACAAGGGCAATTGCTGGTGAAGATTTGGTGCAGCAGGAGCTTCCATTCATGCCTGGTAGGAATGCAATATGGTATAGCCACTTTGAAAAGGAGAATGATAGTGAATAATATCAAAGTACATTGCATCTGTGTATGAAGATAGCATAACAAATTCATTGAAAGCTGTTGCATAATAAGGGAGCAGGGTAATAGAGAAAAAGTAACTAATAGAGAGGGTTAATCCGACTAAAGTC